TTTGTTCTTTTCCCCATCGCTTCTCTTTGCCGATTTCAAGTTCAAGTTCCAATTAAATTGCATACGACGTACGTTCCGCTTCTCTCTCTCTCTCTCTCTCTCTCTCTCTCTCTCCCTTTCATTTCAGTACAGTATAAGAGAGATAGAGAGTAAACTTGTGTCATTTTTTACCAGAGTATAACTAATTGAGCCAAGAGTCAACAAAGCAAGAGAGTAAAAAAAAAACAAAAAAACGGGACAGAAAAAAAACCCCTGGCAAACCATTTTACTACTCTATTTTTGTAGGTGCATTCGATTTAGTCAGCAGTTGAATCATTCGAAATTCACATTTATTTATATATTTAATTTAATTTTAAGCCTGAGGGCTTCGATTGCCTTGCTGCTTCATTTGACTCGTTGTACATATGTGTGTATGTAATATTTTTTTCTCATCTCTTGATTTGCTATCATGTTTCGAGTTTCATTTTTCTGGCTCGTGTGTTGAATTATTTTATTTGTACTCGGATTTCATCTTGGCTCATCACATGAACAGCAACAACAGCAACAAAAAAACCAATCACATACGCACAGTCAACAAACCTGCTAGGACCACGAATTAGTACCCATTTTCCTTCACTTATTTTTTGTTACTGTTTTTGCCGTTGTTGTTATCGATTGTGCGTCTTGTTGATGCTGCTGGCAATTCGCTTCGTCATCATAACAAAGGCACAAAGTGACAAAGGCAATGTTTACTTTTCTAATTTCGTGAGCCGTGTGTGTACACAAACAAATTGGATCCATATTTCCCCCGTTTGTTTCCTCTGCAATTTACGTGGTAAAATTCTCGCTGCAAACAGAAAAAAAAAACTGCTACAAACTGCAATTTAGTGTGTCGGCCGACTTTTCTATTTTGTGTCGTCGTAATGAGCGAACGGAACAAATGAAGTAGAAAAAAGTGAAGCGTTTACACATTGTGAGGCTAGGCGTAGACGGAATATTTCCGTTGTCAGTTGGTTTGCATAATAATCTTAAAATGTCGCACGTGACTCAGCAATGAGCTGCCGAGAGATATCGCCCGGCACGTGCTTTAACCCCACAGAGAAAATGTCTCTCTCTCTCTCTCACTCGCACTTTGTCTATCTACTTAATTTTTTCGTCTATTTGGTTTCGATCGTACGTATTTAACGATGTACGTATTTAACTCCTGGGTAATGTCTCGTTTAAAGATAAAATTCCATATCTACTTCGATCGATTCCGAACGCCTGCAGTTGCGAATGCACCACGGATAAATAGTAATAGATGCCGACCGGGCGATGATAATAGCCAATTTGGAAATCGTGCATACCAATATGTACGCTAATTTCTAACACATCCCACAACAAACCCGGAAAAAAGAACATAAATTGTGAACAAATGATTTTGGCCAGTAAATGCGTGCACAATCAAATGATGTGAACACACACACGCACACGCACATACATCTACGCTATACGTATTTAGCGACTGGTATCATCGGCTGTCTCATGTACATAAATAATACATAGAGAACTTGATGACGATAAGCCCTAATGAAATGCCATTGATGGATGGATATGGTGCGTGTGTGAGCTGGCATTTTGCCGCTTCGCCTGTTTTTCGTTTTTCCACGTTTTTTTTCTGTTTATTTGTGAAGACCAATTCGGGTAAGTCTCACTTTCTCTCTGTGTATGCGCGCCATTGAATGTGGTGTAATGTGATATTTTCAAATGTGCATAATACCAAATAATCAATGAAATGGAAGATGTTGGCATAAGAATATGGATTCTTTAAAAATTGTTTCGCTTGAACTTTTTTTCCAAATGCAATACAATGTGTTGTTTCGTTCATACTGTCGAATTCAATCATCATCAAAACAGAACCGAAATCCGCAGCTTTGTATATGTACGCCACACAGCCGGTTTCGATGACTCTGTTGACAGATATGAATTCAACACGGAGTATTGCACAATCCCACCCAATACCACATATCGATCAAATTGTCAACAAATAAACACCGAAAACGTTTTTTTGTTCGCCTCTCGATGGTTTAAATTGATTCTTTGTTGATTTTCCAATGCATTGCTGCTACTAGCGTAGGTAAACATTTACACATGCTTTCAGCACACTTTGACAATTGTTTTCGACACAAAGAGAGAGCGGGAGAGGAAAAAATCTTTCTCCTACAATAAAAATAAACATTTACATATTGGAAATTGAACGAACTATGAATATAGAAAAAAAGTGATCAGTCGAAAAGTTCATTCTGAATGAACGATTTTGGGTTGGAACAAATTTTCCTACGAAATTTACTGATTTCTTTTCCCCGGGCGATTGTTCTGCGATGAATGTCGCAATTGGTAACGCAATGTAGATTGACTAATAGCAAAGGTTTTTTGGGGAAACCACAAAGCAAACACACACAAAAGAAATGTCTACATGACACGCACTTCAAGAACAATTCAATTCGTCTTCGCTCTCGTCGAGTTTACGATGGTTGCATTGTACTGCCATCCAAATGTTAATTTATCATCGAGCCCATGAATATTAACGTGAGTATGTGCTTTGGCTTCTTCATTTGATTCAAACCGAAGAATTTTCTCTTTATTGTTTGCTATAGCCTCTTATTCTATCATGACATTTACTATATTTAATGTGGTTTAAGCGGTTCAACAGTGTTGTGATACCGAATAAATACATGATGATCACTCTCTCTCTCTCTCTCTTTCTCTCTCTCTGTCGCTCTTCTATTCCCTATTCGTATCATATCGCTGTAGTCGTAATTACAGCAGTCTGCGGTGCATCTGTAGCTGTGTAACTAGTTAGGCTCTCTTGGTCAGTTCACATTTTAATTTTTCTAATCGGAATAATTTGCATTAAAACCCATTTAGTAATAATAATAATCGTCGTAACTTCGACGTAAGCAATAGAGATAGAGAGGCACGAATGACCAAACGAGACTTAGAGGGAACTGAATTGAAAAATGAATGTAGCCACAAGCTGGAAAATGATAAATTACCCATTGCGATGTTGATTGGTCGGCAAACGAGCGACCAAAACGACATAGGCAAATGAAGAGGAATATGCGAGCCGATTAGATTTATTTATTTGAGAAAAGCCTAAAACGGTTTTTCATTTCAAAGTATACACACACACATAGACCAACAACGGTGTGTCGTTGGCTCCGGAAAAAAGGTTCAAAATATAAATATTTGCATTGAATAATAATTGGACCATTTTATGCGTAAATTCTTTCGAGAATAAACGAGTTGCAAAGACCAAAATTACTGGTACACCATTTTTTCCTTCTTCATACGTTCTCTATTTCGATGACATTTTCATATCGTTTAATTATGATAAAACTGGCATCAAATAACTAGATACTCTCTTGTCGCGACATTTGATTGGACCGAATAAACAAACAAACTCGAGAGCTAAATGCAATTGCCGTGTGAGCATTTTGATAACGGTTTAATGAATAAACAAGTCGACTTGAAGAATCCGAAACATTTTTAATTGGGACCGACCCCAATCACAGATACACGAGAAAAAAAACTGCTCCAACGACAGCAAAAATGGTGGAAACGGAATGGCAAAATGAAATATGCGAGTGAAGTTCGTATTGAAATGAACTCAGCACTCGATCGAAATGAACAAACAAACATAAATCGTGTATATTTGCCAATGTTTTTGAGCTTATGTTTGTATTTGTATTTGCATGTGAAACAATGACCACAGAGTTGGCAAATCTCACAGTGGTTCCGTGTGCAGTTTGAATGTCTCATTATATCAGCTAACCGCTCATTTTCACCTTAAGCACCCGATATCTCTGAAGCGCACCTGGCAATTGAACTATATTTGAAATGTGTACACTGCTGATGGTTGCTTTTTTCTATCTTCCAATTTTTCTGTTGCCATCGTTGCAGTCCATGCATGTTATCCCGTTCACCAAGTCTAATAACATGTTTTGCATGGAATTAAAACAAATCGTGATCGGTGGCATATAGAGAGATAGTTAGAGCTCTGCGGATACAGTTACGGGCACACAATCATTTGCCAGTCCGAGATCGATTCACTTGCATTGAATTGACAAGAATCTAAGTCAAAAGACAGCTTACATCGACCATTATGCCGTCACAATTTGAAGAAATGCTTGCATTTATACACACATAGTAAACATTGAACCCAATTCAAATTGAGACCATTCGAACGTCGCGTGGATTCAAGTCTCAGGTTTGATTTTTCGTCCGCGCGCAAACATAAATACACTTGCGCCTTGTTTTTGTGTTAATCGGTCGATGAAACAACAAATGAACGAAACAGACTGTGTTTTTTTCTACTTCTTTTGTTGTTCGTTTCACCGTTTTTGTCGATATTGTTTTTCACGTTGATTTTCTTTTGCTCAAGAACGGAAAGACTAATGGTTTTAATCGGTAGTGCTCGCAGCGAAAATACTTCGCATTCATTTGCGTCAAGTGCAAAATCTGTACAAGACACCATCGCACAACACTTAATCAGCAACTTGTTTATTTATTTATTCGTTCTTTTTTTGTTACAATTTTCTCGCAGCTTTTAATTACACGCTAATCAAACAGTTCAAGCATTACCAGCAAAGAATCAATAATCACGACTTTGGAACAATTAATGATCGTCCAACTCTCAACATAATTGTCAGTGGTTTCGCTGTGTGGATTTTTGCAATCATTCATTCTTCGTCGTCGTCGTTTCGCATTCTCCTTCTTGCCACTTTTTTCGTGTTGGAAATGAATGCCTCAATCAGTTGTTGTTCCGTTTTTAAACTTGTGTTCATGTCTTTTCTTCTCTCTTGCTATTTCTGATGTAGAACTTCAGTTCAAGTGTCGGCAATCGCATAATTATCAGTTGTTTTTATGCTAGCAGAAAAAAAGGCGTTTATTCAGTTCCACTTTTTTTCAATCGATTTTATACTGTGACTTGATTATAACAGCATTTAACATCAAGTTCTTTTTTTTCATTTGATTTACAGTTTTACGAGAGGATTTCCGAATCGAGCCGAAAGATACGCGTGTGGCTGCTGGCGAAACAGCAATGCTTGAATGTGGCCCACCGAGAGGCAACCCGGAACCAACTCTGCTCTGGAAAAAGGTGAGATTTCCTTTTCTACCGAAGTTCCACTGTGTGCTCATAACTAAACTAAGTTTATTTCTTACATTTCAGGACGGCATTGTTCTGGATTTTGATGAAACCCGCGGAGGAAATGCAATTCATCACATGAGCAATAATCCAGTAGCTCGTATGCGAATTGTTGATGGTGGAAATTTGCTCATCAATGATGTTCGTCCACTCGACGAAGGTCGTTATCAATGTATCGCACAGAATATGGTTGGAACACGGGAAAGTACATCGGCAAAACTAACTGTACAAGGTTCGTAGAATTTCTCTCTTTGCATGCCATCCGAACGAGAGCCTGTTTATTTGGTTCTGCAATTCATTTGGAATTCGCTCAACAATTAATTTCAATCTGCAAACATCTTGTTTGGTCATTAAAAATTGGCTAAAATGAGTTGTGCGTTAAATTGAGCAGAAGTTGTTCGTGCATCACGATCGAAGCATGGAATTTAGAAAAGCGAACACAGAGCATAACATTAATTAACACACCGTATTTACGGTCATAAAATGTTTAAGCGAAAACTCCCTCTTGAGTTTTAAAAATAGAATCAAATGGTTTATTTGGTAGACGATGACATATCCATTGGAAACTACAGGCAACACAACAATGTCACCCTTCTATTATTTCCTCGCTGGCTTGTTCTCTCTCTCTCAATGGCAACAATTTCTTTCCGTGTGTTCTGGTTGCGCTTTGTCATATGTATCGCGCTCTGTGTGAGCCTAATTTTTGTGAAGTTAATTATTTGATTTCGAACGAGGAACGACTGAAAGCAATATAAAAATAGAACAAAAGCGGCCGAATGCATATGAACGTTTTACAGCCGCACTTTAGCCAAATCGGCCCATAAACTCTCAAAAGTATTAAATTGTTTCCTTTCCAAATGAAGTTTGTTGTCATTCGTTGTGTCAATAACAAAAACAAGAACGCGATTTCACGGTGTCTCCCTATTTAAGTCGGTGTTCATCGCCTCGCTAGCATTAGACACAGTAGATACACGACGCACAGTCGTATTCAATTACAGACGGCACGAGACCCGATGCAATTAATACAAATCCATATTATTTGTTTATACTCGTATTTATCGAGTAACAACAAGGAATTAACGAAACATTGGCATTAACAATAACAACGACAACAAAAAAAACAGAGAACACAGAATCTTTGTAGGAAAGGAGAGTAATATGTGTCCATTTCGACAATTATGCCTGTCGCTTTTAGTTGGTGAACATTCAATAAAAGCAAACAATTCAATTTCAATCCAACTTTGCAATGAGTGAACTTTGGGCATCATGTGCATTTATATGTGTATGCGTGCTGAAAATTGCCCTGCTTCAAGCTTATTGGCCGGGGTTGTATATTTCCGTATCGAACTAAAGCAAACATCGGATATTATGCGAAGACCTTTTATCTCCACTTCCCGAAATAGAGACATTAAAATGCATTAGGAAAGCTGATGTTTGGACAATGTATATGGTTAATATGTGATCCGACAACACAATGAAATTAAACGATGCGCTCGAAGCATCTGCATGTGTAAATTGGGAGGAAGGAAATTTCATTGAGGCCATCTACCCTTTTTCATAAATCAGCTTCACCATGTACTATAGTACTACGATATATTTGTATGTTCTGCCGGTTGCCACAAAATTCGGTCGACCCTTACGCATTTCACATTTTGCAAACATGCATATTGCACAAACACAAATAAACGCATCCTCCCACATACACGTCCGCACGCACACCAAGGATATCAAAACTGAAAATTGAGCAACATTAATATCAAAACGAGAGACATTAATATGATGAGATGGCACATTAATAAAAAAATAATCACGAAAGATACAATTCATTTTGGTATCGCTTGCCCGCTCGTCTGTTTGTCGTTCTGATTCAATTTAGCTGTGTGTTATGTTTTGGTTGAGATCGATGATATAATCGTTCAAATATTATATGGAAATCCCTTGGTCAGAGATCACATCCATAAGAGGATCAGATGTGTGCATGTGCAAATGAGTGTTTGCTGTTCAAATGCGTTACTTTAAATAATACAGTGTGTTCAGTGTACGAAATCAAATCAAATCGACAGCATTTCAATATTAGAGATGGCCTTACTCGTAACCACCCGCTTCACTATCATTTCTTCGCTATCTCTCGGATGAGGTCTTATTTGGCACACACAACAATCACATTTGCTAATAGGTTTGAATGTTGTTCGTCCACACCGAAAATATTTGATGGAATCAAAATTGTAGAATTTGCTGTGGAGGAAAAAAAACAGCTGTATTACATTCGGGTGAGAGAAAAGGGCACACACATATACACGCAAACACACAATTGAGAAATACAGAAAATGTCTAGGGGAATATCACGCTCCTGAATCTTGTGAGATATTTGAGATATTTGAAATAAACATCAATTGTATGACATATTTTCGAATATTTCGAATAAATAAATCAGATTTTTGTGGATTTTGGAGATATTTGAGATTTTTTGCATTAAATCCAAATAAATACATTTAAATATCATTCATAATCACAAAAATCCACAATATTCCGCCGTATTCACAAATATCCACCATATTTCATACGACAGATTCTTAAAGATAAATTGGATTTTTTTGAAATATTTGAAATAATTTAAGCGTGATATTCCTCTAGGAAAATGTATTAATAAATAGAAACAGGCATGAATCATCAATTGATTTGCATTGAAGTGCATGGTTTAATTTAATAGCCGTACAAAACCTCAATGTGATACGGTTGTTGACCTATGGCAAGCATACAAGGCATCGACCGTATTTACAGTGACCACATCATCGTATGAAAATATTTGTCTGCTTCTCTGTGTTGCGAAATTATATGCGGCGAAAAACGACATGAAATGAGATTACAATGATATTTCAACATCATTCTAATGTAACTGGTGATTGTTGTCGATGAATCGATACATTTTTTTTTTTTTTTTTTTTGAAGATTGTAAAGGGCAAGATAAAACCATATATTTTATTTTTATTTTATTTTAATAAACACCGCCAAGCTCTGGCTGAATATAATGTGGGTTTTTGATTAAGGTTTGGCCGGAAAAGAGTGCAAGACTGTTACATATTTAAAATAATAAACATTTAGTAGCGATAATTTTTCATAACTATCAGTTCTCGCCTCGTTAAAAACCTGGCTCTTTTCATACATCATGCGGTATTCACAATATTGGGAACATGAAAACGAAAAAACAGTCATACAACCAAGATGGAAATGCTTGATATTAGTCTATGGCAAACGGTCCATGATAACCTTTGGTAAACGTTTCCAAAGGAACAAAGGCTATGTGAAGCGTTTAATTACACGTTTAATTTGAGACCCTAGGACAGCAAAAGTCGTCGCTCAATTTATACCGGTGGATAAATTGACGAGAAGTTTTACGTCTTAAAGGCAGATCCATGTTGATTGCAGAGTGCATTGAGTTGACATGGACTATGATTTGAAGCGTAACTAGAGCATTTGATGCTAATTATGAATAATTCAAAATTGATTTCAGACATAATAATATTAAGTTGCCAACTCATGGATGGCTACAACAAAGCACAAAATCAAATTTTACAATAAATAATAAGTGTAAACATCACAGATAAGTATCATCATTTCTATACACATAAGAGAATGTATGGGGAACAATTCGTCAGTCTTTTAGTATCGATTTTGCTGTGTGATTCGTGTGCGATGAGTCGAATACCACGTAGGTGGTTGGTACCTGGGGCAGCCCCACTCTTGTTTGTTTCAATCAGCAGCAACCTAAATGGCATTCGGGCAATATGCGTTGTCATTGATGAGTTTGTCCGCTTGAGATCAGGATCAGGTTTAACGGCAACATGAAAATCGAAATTTCATCATTAATGTGGGCAGTATCAAGGTGTTCTCGTGGAGAACATATACAAAAAATGAGGTTACCTGGATGAGAAGTTGACTAGGCGGCCAGGTAGTCATTTAAGTTTGCAAAGCGATCCAAAAGTGGTGTCCGCCATTCTGCGAACCGATGATTCTTCTTTGAGGTCGCAGCTGTGAACAGTTCCGGCACCATGTTCGCCATTTTGCACATTTGAGGAATTGGAGCTTCTCGCACCAGCTTCATGTGCTTGTCATTCACCTTGAATTGTTCGCTGTGTCTCAATGAACGCCCATCATTAAGTGAGACTTGGTCACTAACTGTTGGACAGTTGGCATTACCGTTGATGATGTCGTAGAAGAAAGTCAGTGACGCGTTGACACGTCGACGGCGAAGACTAATCATGTTCAAGTCTGACAATCGCTGCTCGTACGGTGTGATTGAGTATTGGTTATGCACGGATGGGTATTCACGACGAGCGTACATAGTGAATTGGCGTTGCACGGATTCAATTTTGTCGCTGTGAATTTTGTGGAATGGAAGCCATACCATGGCGCAATAATCGAGGTGAGATTGAACCAATGCAAAATACAGCGACTTTAGTGTGGTGACGTCGGTGATATCATGGCAGAAGCGTTTGACAAAGCCAAGCGCAGCCGTTGCCTTCGAAGTGACCATGTCAATGTGTTTGGCAAAAGATAGCTTTCTGTCAATTAGAACACCCAAGTCCTTGTGTTCAGTCACTTTGTCGAAGGCATGGTCGCCATAGGTGTAGTTTGTATGGAAATGCTGACGTTTCTTGTATATAGATAGCACTGCACATTTCTTGAGGTTAAGGTGCAGCAGGTTCACGTCACACCAATGCTTAAGTTTGTCAATGGCTTGTTGCAGTATCTCCGAATCTTGCTGAGATTTGATGATTTTGGCAATTTTGATATCGTCAGCAAACAGTAATATCATGATGTCCGGGGGCATTTGATCAACGATGTCATTGATGAATAGCAGGAACAGTGTCGGGCCCAGATGGCTCCCCTGTGGGACACCCGACGGCGCTGTAAAATCGTCCGACTCACTTGCTCCATGCTTGACGAATTGAACGCGATTTTCCAGGTACGACTTAAGCCATGACAGCAAATTTTGAGGTAGATTGAATGACCTCAATTTTTGAATCAAGATGCTGTGATCAACTCGATCGAAGGCTTTCGTAAAGTCCGTGTACAGGACATCAACTTGAGCTCCAATGTTCAGGCCACTCTGGGCGTAGTACACAAACTCGGTTAGGTTTGATGCTGTAGATCGTCCTTTCATAAAGCCATGTTGGTTAGGCGAGATGCGATCACGAACAGTTTCAAGCAATTTTACGTTGACGAGGTGCT